GCCCTCCTGCGCCCTCCTGCGCCCTCCTGCTCACCGAGTTCCGCCGGAGCCGCGCCCGCCGGCTCCCGGAGCCTTCCCCCTGCGCCCTTTTTCCGAGATGCTAGCCGGTTGTTACGTTTGCAAGGTTCATTTTGAAAGGGGAACAAAAATATGTCTCTCCTATATCAAAACGCAGCCTTAGAGAGCCGGAAAGTCCGGGGCAGTGCCGATGTGTCCCCCTAGCGCTCCCTCCGAGCCTCAGGGAAGGCGGCAGCTTTGTCAGTTCCAGGCTCAGGTAAATCCCACGCGGGCTCAGACCCCGGAGCTGATTACCTGCGGCGGGGAGGGCGGCGTCCCCCGCGAGGAGGTGAGAGGAGCGGACCCTTCGTCCATTGCTCGCCCAGGACTTGCTCATTGCCCTAAGTTTTTCAGACCCGGTCGCATTTATTTATTTATTTTTAATTGATTTTCAAAGAGAGAGAAACTTCGATTTGTTTTTACAATTATTTATGCATTTATTGGCTGTTTCTTCTATGTGTCCAGACGGGGGATCAACCTGTAACCTTGGCGTATAGGTCGATGCTCTAACCAACCGAGTTACTCCGTCAGGATCCCCACTTGCTTTTTTTAAGAAAAGCTGTTGTGTGTATTAACTACTAGGATGACATGAGGACAGTTTGTAAACTAACCCTTCTATAGACTTCCTAGTCTCGCTCAGCAAAACATCTTGACTAATACGCTGAAAGGAATGCAAAGTCTTTGAAGCAAAGTTAGCCTGTTAACTCTGACCTGACTCAGAGAAATGCCATCTTCAACTCTCCACTGGCGTCTAAGGTTTCTTTCCCAGATGTGGGCGTCTTAGCTTCCCCCAGTCTTGCTGCGTAGATTGTGTACCTGGTTGTGGTTTTTTAAGAGCCAAGCCTTTAATTCCTGAATCCTAGTGTGTAAAAGCAAGGGCACATTGAGCTTAAATTGAAAATGTCAAATGAAAAAAGTTTGGTCTGATTATTTTATTGCTTCTACATCTAAGGCAAGAGTATTTGCTTGTGAATAATCTTTTTGTTGACTTGTGGTCACCCAAATACAGTATAAATAAAACATGCATTTTATAAGAATAGAAAGACTAGCACGGGTATTTAAATTGAATGCATTCAGCAGGTTTTTATAGGTCCACTTTACATTTCAATATCACCTTTTTATTTTAAATGAGTTTTTATAAACATTTAAATTTTATAATTCTAAATTTTAATAGTAGAGAAAATCAGATCAAAGAGTCGAACCAAATTGCATAAAGTCAGATACCAGGAAAGAACTTTATTTCTAGCTCATGATCCTTCCTTTAAATCCTACACCCATGTTTTCCTCTAACCAGTATGACATACAAATCGGGGCCCTGTTTTCATTATTGACTTTTCCCAGGTATGTGATTTAACTTCACCACCCAAATCCATTGTTTGCTTTATAACTGCTATTGTAACACATCAAATAGAATTCATTTTGAAATAAATTGGTAATCGGTTCCTCTTTGTTAACCACAAAGCAATAAAAGGATTAAGAATTAGTTCCCCCAAAAAGATCATAGAAGCTGACCAAGTGATAATGGTTCCAAGAGACCTCCAATATTTGTCAATCATCTCCTTCCTCTAGAAAGAATAAAAGAAAATAGTGGTTATTTTTTGAGTTCTTACTATTTGCTAAGTATCATCTCATGTAGGCTTTACAACAAGTATGTAAATAGGTGTTATTCTCCCAAATTTCCAGTTGAGGAAACAGACAAGAAAAGTTAACTAAATGCCTGTAAAGATAGAGTTAAGATTCAAACTCAGGTCTGATTCCAAACCATCACTTCTGCCAATGTGTAATATTGCTTCTAATCAAATCATTCCTTGTGTACTTATATGCTACTATTCACATACCAACTCAGCCTTTCTCCTCACATTAGTTTAATGAAATCATAGCTGGTAGACCTATTCTAGAATGAGACAAGACAGTAGAAACTGATAAACCAAGTAGCTACAAGATTTATTTTTAATAAATAGCACTTAACTATAATATTCATTTTAAATGTGTGTATACACATGCACATAGGAAGACCCTAGATTTTTATCATAAAAGATTACATCCCAAACTTAGCATCAGTAAGACTTCAACATTATTTAGAAGGTTAACAATGTGAGCAGACACGAACAAATGAACTAATTGAGACATGATATTCAAGATTTGCATCTAGGTACACACCATATACAAGAACTGTAGACTTGCGCACCACGAAAGTGTCCAAATATGGTTGAAGGACATGACTGAAATCCTAAATGTGGCTTTGAGATGTCAGGAACAGGAAAGAGATCTATTGACCAGATGAGAGTAGAAGGTAGTAGAAAGAAACAGTGAAGCTCTTCTCTCCAAGTTGCTCAAATATTAGCTCATAAAATTTTATTATAATATTATAACAACTTATATTTGTTGAGCACTTACCATATGTGCCTGGTGTCATGCCAAATACACAGCATATGTTGCCTTTTTAATCCTAACACCTTCATGGGACAGGTACCTTCTTCATTATCCATGTATTACAGATAAAGAAACTAAGGTACAAAAAGTTTAGTAATTTTCCCTAACAAGTTGCAGAATAAATAATAACAGAGAAAACTGAGATTTGGACCTAAGCAGACTATTGCCTGAGCCCAAGCATTAACCACTATACATACTTCTCCTACAGAATTTCCTAACGTTTTAAGCAAAACTGATTTTAAATATAGCATATTAGGTAGCCATTTGTATGGCATTTTTTATTATGCTAAAATACACATAACATAAATTTTACCACCTAAAATTATTTTGAGGTGTACAGTTCAGTAAAAGTCACCCTCATAGGGAAGAAAAGATCATCAAAAAGGAGAAGTGCACCTTGGCCAGTGTTACTCAGTTGTTAGAGCTTTGGCCCACGTACCAGGGTTGCAGGTTCAATCTCCCCTCTTCCCTCCCCTTACATGTGTGGGAAACAACCAATCGATGTGTCTCTCTCACATTGACTTTTTTTTCTCTCTCCCCTCTTCTCCCTTCCTTCACTCTCTCTAAAAAATAAAGAACATATATCCTCCAGTGAAGATTAACAAAAAAAAAAAACAGAAAAAGAGAGAAATGCAAATTCTTGTCAGCTTCACATAGATAGGCTGGTTCTGCTTATAAATTTACCTAAGCTAGAAGGGTAAATGCAGCCATTGATGGCCAGAGATGCAAATATACATTATAGTCTTACAGAGATGTTTCAGACCCAGAGGAAGGTGTCCTGATACATGATTGGGCCAGATTATTGTTTACTTTTACTTCTCCCAACATTATGTTTGGGCTGACAATTCTGTTTATAAGCACACATGCACACATTCTTCTGTTTATGTACATACATAACCCTTCTTCCTCACAGCCTCCCTGGAGATAGGGATGATGTCTTCTGTTTTCCTACCCAATTTTCTCTTATGTAGTAATACAGTATATACAATCAAACAGTTATCTCTTGGGATCACTGACCTAATAGTTGAAATGTTACTCTAAAGGGGAAATCTGAAAATGTTCAAGGGATGAATTGTTGCCATTAATCTTGCAGCAATCAAGAGCTCGGTGCTATAGCAGGTCTACAGAATAAGGCAGGATCTCAATCCTTCAAAACTCAAAATCTAAAAATGGTAATCAAAATTCTCTGAAGATGGTATCAGAGTATAGTGGAAGAATCTTGAGATTTTAGGCAAGAAAGAGCTAGCTTTTCAATCCTGGCACCACGACTGATTTAGCTATGTGGTCTTAGGCAAGCTAACTTTTCTGTGTCTCAGTTTCCTTTTCTGAAAATATGGTTAATAATAACCACTTCATGCACAATACAGTGACTAAAGACAAGATTGTATACATTGTAACCATCAAACTTGCTAAGAGACTAGAATCTAATTATTCCAACTCCTAAAAGGAAAGTATAATTATGTAAGGTGACAGAAATGCTAATTATTACTATAATGGCAATCATATTACAATATATAAGTGTATCAAATTAACATGTTGTACATGTTAAATTTACACAGTGTTATATGTAAAATATATTTCAATCAAATAATAATACCCATCTCATAAAG